GGGAGGAGGGCTTCCTGTGGGAAGGCTTGGAGACAATTCTAAACAATGGAATTTTAAAGAAAGGAAGATCTTGGGAAACACATCCACTGAGTAATCTCAGCCAGGGATGGCAAACAGGTCTGAACAGTCATACCAACATCTAGGGGATTTGATACAAACAGAGATCTACTCTAGTGACACGTGCCATTTCTGATCTGTATGAGAGGATGGTTCGGGAAAAGAATATTCCTCATGGAACTGTTATCTGAGGGGTTAAGTGAAAGGCCGAGGAGTAGGCTAGCTATGGAGAAGGAAAGGTTGCCGACAATGGACTAGATTCCAGGAAATGTAGGGAGAAGCAGAAGTCCCATTGGAGATGGGCACTGGGTTCAGAGCCCTGCTCCCTGAACCAACACTCAACTTATGGTCCCTGAGGACTGCTCAGTGAAAACCAAAACAAGAAACTGGCTAATACTTTGGCAAGTTTGCAACCAGGAAAACTTTCAAAATATAAAAGTAGCAACAAACACAAATGTCAGCAGCCATTACTGAGGCTCAGGTGAGTGGGAATTCTCTTGCTCGTTGTCTACCTCTTGGGTAACAGTGGGGCTTGGCCTGTGGGATCCCACACAAAAGGGTGTGGAACCCCAAGGAGGACGTGCCTCAGCTATTATTCCTTGGGCAAGGAGTTACTGGCAAACAGAATGAGGGCCTCAAGGCCTGTGCATCCAGTGGCAGTGGACAGGCAGGATGCAGAAATGGACCCATAAAGAAAGGGGGTAGTTGGGTGTGAGGCCCAGGATTTAGGCAAGCTTGTGGCAAAGCTATCAGAAGCTCTTTCCTTTCTTCCACTACAAGGTCTCTGGTCTCACTGAACAGGAAATCTCAGGACCTGCGTAGCAAAGGCACCAGGTGGGCAGTGACTGATACATACCCATCTGGTCAGGAACCCAGGCCCACTCCTCAGCACCCTTCCCTACTCGTCAGCAGATCCTCAATACAAACACTGTCATGTGCAAAATATCCTTGGGAAAGAATCCTTTGGGTGATCTCTTGTCAATCATTTGTGCAGGCTAAAGAGGCACCTGTGAATAAGGCTACTGAGGAGAATCATTGGCGGGATCCTGGCACCACCTGAGGGTAGGAGAAGCAGTAACAGCATCATCCCAGAAACATGCTCCAGCTCTCTCATCTGGGCAGGATAACAGTTCACGAGTTCTGGATACCCTGCCAAGGCTCTCCCCGTGGAGACCTTTTCCAGGTCAAGAGAAGAAGAAATCTCCAAGGTAGCCAAGAGAACCCCCTCTCACAAAAGACACACAGCAAGGCCTGGGTGTGTTACTTGTCAAAAACCCCCAGGGGCTGGGAGGGGCAGTCTCAAACCCAGCTGGCTGTGAAGGCAGCAGCTACAGATGACAGCTTCTCTTGTAAGACTCTTCCGCTCACAGATGAGCCACTGACCTAAGGTCTATACACACCACCCATTAATGCAAGTCCACTGTACACTTACAGACTGAAATGTATGAGGTCTTGCACATATGCCTTATGTATGTAAAACTGACCCACAAAACCCAAAGCTGCAATGTGTCAGATGCTAGCCAGGCAAGAGCACGGCACTGCTTTGTGGTGGGAGCCTCGTGTGGGCCAGGCTTGGCTGGGCTGCCTGCTCCCTTCCCAGCATCCCCATGGTATCAGGCTCTAGGGAGTAGTGGGATTGGGCTCCCAGGCCCCTGCTGGGCCCAATACTTCTGTGCTTGGTGCTCCTGGGCAACTTCTGGAGGCAGCTTCTGGAGCCCTTGGGGAGCTGGATGCTTGGGCTATGAGCCCCTCACCACCTTGCTCCTTACAGACAGTGGCAGCCTCTGGCCTTCGTTCAGGGCCACTGTCACCAACGGGGCCCTGGCCACCCGCACTCAGGTCCTGTACCCTCTTGTTCAGGTCGTTGCGTTCTGTCTGTAGTGCCCCGCACAGCTTCTCCAGCCGCTGGATTTTCACCTGTAGGCCCTCTTGCTCCTTGTCCCGCAGTGTTTTCTCCTCAGCCATCTCAAGCAAGGCCTTGTTGCTGCTCTCCCACCGGGACCGGTACATAGTGGTTTCTTTCTCCAGCTTCTCGATCTTCTTAGTCATCTTTTCCATCTCCTGTTTGAATGTGGTGAACACTTCGCTGCTTTTGGAAAGAGTGTTCTGGAACTCTTCAAACTTTTCCGTGTAAAGGGCGAGCTGCTGCTCCAGGTGGGTCTCCTGCTGTTCCATCAGCTCACACATCCTTTGTGACTCCACTGCCTCTTTGAGGAGAAAGTCCTTCTCCCGCTGGTGTCTCTCCTCAGCTTCTTTTAGCATCTCCTGAGCCCGCTGAAGCTTGGCATCCACAAGCTGCTGCTGCAGATCCTTGTGTTTGAAGACTTTGTCAATGTGCTCCTCACGCGGCTCATACCGCTCAATGAGCTTCTTCAGCCTCTCTGCCAGCCCCATGTTCTCCTGGGGGTTTGGAGTTACGTTCATTGTGCTGCTCCACCTGCAGCTGAATATCATTCAGAGTCACCTGGACGTGCGAGGTCACCTCCTTGCGTTTCTCTTCCTCTTCTCGAGCCCGCTGTACACCTTCTTCCTTGAGGGAGCGGTTGTGTCGCTGTAGCTCTCTGCACAGGCTCTCGAGCTTGCTGCGGGCCAGGGTGGCCTTGCTGTGCTTGCCCCGCAGGTGGTCCTTCTCCTGCACCAGCTGACTCTGCTTCTTCTGCAGGAGCTTCATCTGCTTCTGGGAGTTCCTGTGCTCTTCCAGCAGTTCAGCATACTTCTTGCACAGTGCTGCCAGCTTCTCCTCTGGCGTACTCAGGGTATTCAATGTCTGCATCAGCAGTGTAATCGCCTTTCCCAGTCCCTTGGCTTTCTTCTTCTCCTGGGGCCTCCGGTGGTCTCGGTCTCCACCTTCATCACGCACCCGGATCTCTTCTGTGCCTGGCTCCCCCTTGGAGGGCTCCTTCTCGCCATTGATTACAGGGGTCACCGGCTCAGGTTCCCCGTTCCTTGCACCGTAGTTTCGGGACTTTTCCGTATCTTCAGGTTCACTCTGTGCCACATCCTCACCTGGGCTCCCCGATTGTTGTCTACACAGTAAGTACTCAAGATGTCTTCCAACTGGCGGCTCAGCCCCTCTGACACATCTTGGAGGGCCCCTGGCGGGGCAATTTTGGCTTGAGCCCCCAAAGGCTTCCCCAGGGCCTGGCTGTTGGAACCTTCAGCTTCAGTTGCAGGAGCCGCCTGGCTCTCTCTGGTCCCGCTTCCGGTTGCCCTGGGTTGCTTTTGGAGTTGGAAGTGTTGCCTGATTGCTTGGTGGCCCCATTCTTTTTGTCCTAGTTCTTCATTGTGGTTTGCAATGCTAGGTTAGGTGCAAATCCTCAATGCCGAAAGACCAACAACTTCACCCCCCCTTTTCAAATCCAAAGACATGCAGCCCACTGTACCCTGCAAAGGTGGCTTGGCCCAGCCCTCCAATCCCTTCCTGGCCACTCTGGGAAATTTTTCAGACAATAAAGATTCATGCACTGCCTTGCCCTCCTATGGCCCGTTCCAGTCAACTTCTCTTCCTTTACTAAAGTCTTGAGGCCTGAGATCAAGCTGCGTAGAGTCTGTGGCTGACCTCAGACATGCCGTTTCCTTTCCCGGCCTTGAGCGTCAATAGCCGCAAAGCGAGTAAATAAAACTGTGGATTCT